CCAATGACAGTGTGAAATCCCAAACTAGATCTCAAGAGGGTTTTGTAGCGTTCATTGTTGCTGCTCTTGGCACGTCACCATCATGTGAATAAGTCCAGGCTAGCCTGCTTAAGGATAAGAGATCATGTGAGGCAGAGACAAGCTGTTCCAGCTAAGATACCTCTATGCCAACCAGCTTTCAGTCATATATGTGAACCTCACGAGTCTAGCAGATGAACTGTCCAGCTGAGCCCAGCCCAAGTTGCCAATTCACAGAATTATAGGCTAAAAAAAAATACTTCCTGTTTTAAGCCACTAAGTTGGGGTGGTATGTTACATAGTAAAAGTCGACTGACACAAGCTTGAACCTAATACAAATCTTACTAAGCATGTTCATTTATTGACTTTTGTATCAACTGGTGTGGTTTCTTTCATTTGGCATATTGTATACGCAGAGGATACCTTCATGATTTATCTTCCAAACCAATAGGCTTTGATAGTAAATTGCGACTATCCTGGGCAAACTGGGGAGTATGGTCACCTTGAATTTGCAATGGCTTATTGATGGTTATCTCCTTATTTACGTTTTTTCTTAATCATAGAATGCCAGCTAGCCTGGAATCTAGAGACCTTCCACTCTTTATTCATTAAGGAAGAAAAATGGGATCCAGTGTCAAGAGATGCCTTTCCCAAGTCTGCACAGCTCATACGTCATGGGGGAAAGCTCACCACAGTCAATGTAGTAGAATGAAAATGCTGTGGAGTCAGGAGACCTGGGTTCAAGTCCAGTTTCTCTCACTAACATAGCTGCATAATCTTGTTCTGTGGCCATGCTTTGCTTCTTTTACTAATCTTAGAGCCCCTTAAAGAAACAAATTGCAAGTTCTGTGTGTTTGTATCTCTTTAAGGGCCCAGGTTCAGAACTTGGCATATAATAGGTGTTCAATCATTATTTGATGAGGAAGTTTAAAAACAACCAAAAGTTCCTTGTTAGAGTCTCATTTCTGCTTGGAACAGTACATGGCATGCTCAGAAAAAGAAAAAAATCCAGTCCATCCTAGGGCTGGCACTTGGGGGAACAATGAGAGAAAGCCCGTCTGGCTACCCTAGCCCATGCTGCAGGGCTGGCTCTCAAGGAAGGACTGCACGGGGATGACCAGTCAACATCTTGCAGAGGAGAGCATCCTGTGCAGCTCCATATTCTTGGTCTGTTCCCCCAGGATTGTAGTATCAGCCACAGCAGTTGTCACGACCCAGGTAACCACTGCCTTGTTAATTCCTGTTGGTTTTTCAGGAGCTGCTGGTTGGCAGCCTTTGATCTCCTCTGATGTCTTCTTCAACCTTTCAACTCAGATTGCCAAGAAAATGGACACTCGGCCAGCCCTTGCTCTAAGAGTCCCAACCCTGAGAGCTCAGGGTCTTTAGGTATTGGCATCTTCCTTCCATTCCTGCACATCTTCCTGACTGCCTCAGCAGTTGTGTGCTGACCTCATCTCATCAGTAACCAGCCGCCTCCACTGTGGGCCACACCACACTAGACCTTTTGCAGGCATTTGGAAAACCGTGTCTCGTGTCTCCCTGAGTTTGTCTCCCTGGGGCCAAACCAAAGCGAGAGTGAGAGTGAGAGTGTGTAAGAGAGAGAGAGGGAGAGAGAGGGAGAGAGGGAGAGAGGGAGAGAGAGAGAGAGAGAGAGAGAGAGAGAGAGAGAGACAGAGAGAGAGAGAGAGAGAGGGAGGGAGAGAGAGAGAGAGAGAACACATGAACATAAGCACATCTCGGAAATGTCAATCTGATGTAAGTCAAGGAAAAAAAATCAAATGCATTCACTTGTTTGATCATAGGTTTTTGAGAAGCCAAGCCTTTGCACAGACTAAACACTCTACAGTTTTATCTTTTTTTTTTGAGTTGGATCCTTACTCTGTAACCCAGGCTGGAGTGCATGAGTGATCATAGCTACAGTCTTGACCTCTTGGGCTCAGGTGATTCTTCCACCTCACCCTCCTGAGTAGCGGGACTACAGACGTGTGTCACTACTCCCAGCTATTTATTTTTATTTTTTTGTAGAGACAAAGTCTTGCTATATTGCCCAGGTTGGTCTCAGACTTCTGGGTTCAAGCAATCCTCCCTCTTTGGCCTCCCAGAGTGTTGTGATTACAGATGTGATCCACTGCACCTGGCTACAATTATATCTTGAATAAAGAAACCTAAATATTGTTTTAAGTGAGCCATACTTGTCATGTGCATCCTTTACCAGGAAACCTTTTTCTGGTGTCTACTTGACAAGATATGACTCTCCACCAGGTCACATTATTTACGGATTAAGTTGATGGGATGGGATATCTCTTCAGTCGTTTTCAAATGAGAGAGCTCTTGAAGACTTATGATAAATTATGCTAGACATTACCCCAATATTCTATTTCAAATGCTTTTAGAGATGATTTTTTTTCCAGATATTTACCTTCTGGCATCATAAAATACAAGAAGTCTAAGCTGTATGGTCACACAGACCTGAGTTTGAATCTCAGCTCCACTCTTTAGGAAGAGACCAGGTATTAGTTAGTTACCTTCTCTGTGTCTAAGTTTCTTTCATTATGCCAGTAATGTACATATTCCTACCCTATATATTTCCTAAGAGTCTATATACAGTTTACTGTGGTCCAATACCTCAAGGCCCTGGGCTCTCAGGGTTGGGATTCTTAGAGCAAGGGCTAGCTAAGTGTCCATTTTCTTGGCGATCTGAGCTGAAAGGTCAAAGAGGATGTCAGAGGAGATCAAAGGCTCCCAACCAGCAGCTCCTGAAAAACCAACAGGAATTAACAAGGCTGTGGTTACCTGGGTCGTGACAACCGCTGTGACTGACACTATGATCCCTGGGGGGTACAGAGCAAGAACATGGGGCTGCATGAGATGCTCTCCTCTGCAAGAAGTTGACTAGTTACCCCTATGCAGTCCTTCCTTGAGAGTTGGCCCCTGCAGTGTGGGCTAGGGTAGCCAGAGGGGCTTTCCCTCATTGCTCCCCCAAGTGACAGCTCTGGGATGGACTGGACTTTTTTTTTTCTGAATACACTGTGTGTTGGTCCAAGCAGAAATGAGGCTTTCGTCAGGAACATTAAGAACACAATCTGATGCAGTAGGCATACATTTCTGTTGAATGAGAATGTGTGTGCAGTGCCATAAGAAAAAGTTGGGCTGTTTCTCCTTTTCTCTCTTTAGTTCTTTTATTTTGGAGGCAGTGACCCAAGAGCCAAGTTCAACAACATGGGCTGGGGATATTTCCTTGATCTGATCTACATTCAGGTCGTTCTTTGCTGATCATAAGCTGGTGTTGTGCTCATAGGACCCAGTACCTAATAACAGCAGATAATAACATCGATGATAGGAGTGACAGTAACACAGGAGAGAGATCAGACAGGCGGGCATTTATACTACACAAATGCATTTCTTTAAGTTATTTTTTGAATTATGTAACAATTTTCACAGCCACAAGAATATTCAAGAAAAAGTGAGTCACCCTCCTGCCTCAGACCCTCAACTGCCTTCTCAGAGACAACCACTGTGGTGGTTTTTGAACACGGTCACAAATTCCTTTGACACTCTTCCCATCAAGAGAGGCATATGCTATATGACAGTGATGTGTTCTAGGGAAGCTTTCTGTCTTCTCTCCTTCAATCAGGAGAGTCTTGTGAGTGCTTTGCCAAGTGGGGTATAGAGGAAGTGACTCTACATAACTCTTTTTTGTTGAGTTGGAGTCTCACTCTGTTACCCAGGCTGGAGTGCAGTGGCACACTCACAGCCACCCCCAGCGTCGACCTGCTGGGCTCCAGTGATCTTTCTACCTCAGTCACCCAAGCAGTCGAACTAGAGGTACGTGCTACCATGCCTGGCTAATTTTTGATTTATAGTAGAGACAAGGCCTTGCCAAGTTGCCCAGGCTGGTCTCGAACCCATGGGCTCAGGCAATTCACTTGCCTCGGCCTCCCAAAGTGCTGGGATTACAGGTTGAGCCACCGAGCCTGGCCCCACTCTATGTAATTTCTAAGACTAGGTCATCACAGACCATGCAGCTTCTGCTTTCTGCCACCGGAGCACTCACTCTTGGAGTCCGTGACCTCTTATGTGAGACATCTGATATCCTGAGGTCACCATGCTGTGAGGAGTCACAAATCACATGAAGAGGCCACATTTAGGCACTCCAGTAGATAAGCCCGGCTTAGTCCAGCCTTTCACGTGCCAGACACATCAACAAAAAGCTCCAGGTGGTTCTGGTTCCCAGGTGTGAGACACCCCCAACCATGCAAGTCTTCCTACCTGAGGCCCCTGACATTGTGGAGCAGAGACAAGCCATGCTTGACGTCCCTATTCAAAATCCTAATCCACGGGATCCGTGAAGAGAATAAAATAGTGGTTGTTTTGCACCACTGACTTCTGAGTGGTTTGTTACGCAGATTTGATAACCTGAACAATCACTACGATTCTGTATCTTTTTGTAGAAATTCCAGGCATGTGTAAGAATATATAGGCATCTATGCCACCTTCCCTTAACAATTTTTTTTTTTTGAGTTGGAGTCTCAACTCCAACCCTGTCGCCCAGGCTGGAGTGCAGTGGCATGCTCATGGCCACAGCAGCTTCGACCTGCTGGGCTTAGGCGATCCTTCCACCTCAGCCTTCCAAGTAGCTGGAACTACAGATGTGCATTATCGTGGCTGGCTGATTTTTTTGATTTATTATAGAGACAAGGTCTCACCAAGTTGTCCAGGCTGGTCTTGAAGCCCCGGGCTCAGGCGATCTTCTCGCCTCAGCCTCCCAAAATGCTGGGATTATAGACTTAAGTCACTGTGCCTGGCCAATTTTTAAAAATTTTGATTTTTGGGGGATTAATTAGAACTGCACATATTTATGGGGTACACGTCAAACTTTGATACAAGCATACTTCTCTTTTCCTTTTAACACAAATTGAGGCTGACAATGAACAGTCATCATGCTTTTTATAAGGAAACTATTTTAAACATGCTTCACTTACAGGCTTGCGAACGTCAGGTAAGGTGATCCAGAGAGGAAACACTATGGGGAAAACAATCAGAAACGTGACTTGCTTGCGGGGGTTGGAAGGCCAGGACAGACTGAGGGGCTGGTCCTCCTCTGGCTCTGCTGTCTCTGTGGTCTGTAGTAGGAAGAGAGAGATAAAACAAACAAAAAAAGAGGATAATGCACACCAACACAACAGCAGGAGCACAGAGGAAGGGAGGGAGGCTGTAATTTCATCAGGAATTTTCCAGAGTAGTCCCCGTGGCTTCACATGTGCATTTTTCAGGTCTGTAAGGGAGCCCCACTGGCCACTGCCGGAGTCCCAGGAACAAACAATACACTGTCCCTCCATGAGAATTTAAGAATTTTCTTCTCTCTCCTTGAATACTCTTCAGCTTCTCACGTTCATCAACTCATTATACAACTGAAGTGAGCCACAGCTATGTTCATGAACTTTTGATGAGAAATTGTTATCTGCAGAGCAAAAGACCCAATGGCCACCACATCTCCCTTTTCCCTTCTCCTTGAGGACAAAGCCACAAGGTTTAGAATCTTTGGGAAAGAGAACACTGTCAAAAATTAAAATTTCTTTCTCTTCTCTTTTCTTTCCTTCCTTCTCTCTCCCTCTCTCTCTTCCATTCTCCCTCCCCTCTCTTCCTCCTTTCTTTCTTTCTTTCATTTCCTTAGAGCACAGATTTTCAACAGGCAAATAAAAGTAACCACAGAAACGATTCAGTAACAGTACTGAGAGAGATTAACTCCCACCCACTGGCCTTGGAGTAGTTAAACTTATTGGTTTTTGTGTGGCTGTGAGTTTTTTTTTCTTTTATTGACACATAATATTTTACATATTCATGGGGGTATATGTGAATACTTTTGACATGCATAGAATGTGTACTGATCAGTCAGAGCACGTGGGATATCCATCACCTTGAGTGTTTGTCATTTCTAGGTGTTGATAACATTTCAAGTTCTCTCTTCCAGCTATGCTGAAATATTCAATATACTGTTGCTAGCGATAGTCACCCTAGTCTCCTGTTGAGTATTAGAACTTATTTCTCCTACCTAACTGTAAGTTTGTACCCATTCACCAACCTCTCTCCATTTTCCCCTCCCACCCTCACACCCTTCTCAGGTGGCGAGTTTTTAACCTGCTTAGCCACTGTTGATTTCTAAGGCCTTTGACTTGCAGTCAAACACGACTTTTGCAAACATGTGCCTCCGTCCTCAGAGAGACAGAAGGCAGGAGCTGAGCGAGACACCGAACCCGCACAGGGCCTCAGAGCTAGGGTAGAAACTTCAGAGTTCTGACTTGGCAGCAAGCGGCCCGTGTTTTATTCACCAGTCCCTGAAGTCAGCAGCTTCTGAAGTCCCAGAGCTAGAAGAGACGGAAGGCAGATCTGGGCCTGGCGGGATGACCATTAGCCTGTCAGATGGGCCCTTGCGCTTCCGAAACAGCACTGGAGACGTCATCAATCACTCCCTTCCCCGCTTGTTTAAAAATGAAAGTGCAGCGGTGAACCATGCAGCAGATGTAAAAATATCAACAGGAGCTTTTCCGCTGATGCTTCCTTTGGAGATCACATAAATAACTTCAGAAAGCTCCTGCCCCTGTGGTGCTTTTCCAGTGTCGTGTACTTTTCAAGCAGTAGCACTGACCCCCTCCGTGCTTTTGTCCCCAAGGAGGTAGTGAGTGGGGCAGTTTGGGCCAGTTGGCCTCCGGGGTGAAGGATTCAAGCAGAGGTCAGGCCTGGGTGTGAGCCCAATGCTCAGCAGTGCCGTGTTAGGCTTATTTATTTGGCAGACCTGAGGTACTGCCAAAGAATGGGTAGCGGGTTATCACTCAACATGTCACCTCTTCCTGGGAGTTAACACAAAAAATAATAACAGTACAAAAGGGAATGTTAAGCCATGTTGAAAAAGGATGGTAATAACGGGTTCTTCCGCTTTGGGGGTATGTCCTTGGCAGTGGGTAAAAGAGTTTGTAAACAGCAACTGTAAAGGAATTAAGGGGATTAGTAATAAGGCAGAATTAGGAAGTTGGCGCAGTTTATTGTGGTTGCCCAGATCCTCACTAAACACACATCTCGTACACCCTACCCTTTTGCTGTGCAATTCACATGCCATTCTATTAATATTCCCTGCTTTCTCTGCTCTATCTTGAGGGCTCCAATCCCTGATGAAGGCTTGGGTGTGCTGGCTCTGGTCCCTCTTCCAAGCCACCTCTGTCTGCTCCCAGGAGATTGGCAGATATAGAGAACATAGTTTCCTGTTGGCCTCACCAGCCTCTCAAGGAGTCAGCTGGCTACATAAATAATCTCTGTGTCATGGGACCAATGAGGATTAAGGAGACAGGTGTAGTTTCCTGTTTGTTCCTCCCAGATTCAGTCTTTCTTGCTTAACCCAAATGAATGACTTTCCCCTCTCTCTACCTGGTGGATGCTCCAGAAATGAGCATGAGAAAGCTGAGCTATTGCATCATTCATTCCCAATAAGAACCCCATCTCATACGAGATAGGGATTTTTGAGTTCCCCCCCGCCCGGAGTCCTGCTGTGTTGCCCTGGCTGGTCTCCAACTCCTGGCTTCAAGCAATCCTCCTGCCTCAGCCTCCCACAGCACAGGGATTACAGGTGTGAGCCACCGTGCCCTGCTGAGATCGATGGTATTATTTCAGCCAAGGGCTGACTTTCTTGAAAACACATCAGGCTGATCTGATGAATTCACCAAGGCTCCTTCGCCTTCCAGGGTTGACCCCTCCCCTCAGCTCGGTCCCTCACTGCCATCTACAAACTAGCAACTTCTCTCTAGACTCCAGGCCAACCTTTTTTCGAGAAAGAACAAAAGCAACTCTTTATGACTCATATCATTTTAATGACACCAACAGATGGTGACATTTCATCAATAACCCTTCCGCTTATAACTTACAGGATTAGCTCCTTTCTCCATCTGCCAAAGTCACCAGGCAGGCAGTGCCACTAGCAAATAGCAGATAATAATTGTCTGTTTAGATGCATAAGCTCTAAACATACTACTGTCCAATGCAAACAGTTAGCTATATTGTACAGCTTCCAAAAGTTGTATTGGGGGTGGTTGTTGCTAGGGCAGAAATGGACCGAAGAGACTGTATCTGAGGTCCGTGCCAAGAGGGCTCTCCGTGGGAACTTCACAGCCCCCTGGGGTCAAGTCCTGCCACAGGCAAGTCCAGGAGTCTGGAATCCTGGGGTGGATTTGAGATGTGCCCCAGGAGCAAGCTGTCAGCATACTTTAGGTGAAATTCTTTTTGTCTTCTTGCCAAGTGAAATCTCACTCTGGCTCAATGGGCAACAGCTTGCAAGCTGGTTAGAGAAGCAGAAAAGAAAAATACCATTCCCAGGTTGGCGCCCATTCTGCCTTTGCCCAAGTTGGGGGATACCTTGGGGGAGAGGCCGCTGAGGTTAGAGCAGTGATTCGCCAACATTTTCAGGAGTTGTGGCAAGTTGACTTTGACCCTGGGACAACCTTCTAAAATTTCTGCAGGGTGTCCATAGAAAGCAAAACACAGCAAAATGGCCCAGAAAGAATTTAAATGACTTTTGATATCAGTGTTTAAAATAGTTTGATATCTGCTGAGTTCTCTATAGACACCCGAGAATTGTGCAAAACCAGGAACAGCAGTTTCTGCTTTAGGGCCTTGTAATCTTTGATATGAAACATCTGAGACGACAGCACATGCCGAGACGTGCCCACGTGGTGGGTGTGAGTTGGCTGTCAGGCCTTCAAGGTGTTGGTGTAGCATGCTGGGACAAGCAGGTGGTATAGAGACTCAGGAATCCTGAGTTCCAGATTCTGCTCAGGCTGTGGTTCCTTGGGCAGTCTCCACTTTGATCTGCAAAGCATTTCCTGAGCACAAAGGTGCAAAGCGGCGTGCTAAATTCTAAGACTCTTGCTTTCGAGGATTCTTGGATTTAAACGGGGAGACAGAACAGATGATCCCAAAGAATGTATTATTTATCCAGTTAACAGGATGCTGGCAGGTTATATTGCAAGAGACTTCTAGTTGATCTCCCATATCTACTCTGTCTGTTATGAACTCAATTGTGACCCTCCTGCCCTGGCATTCCCCATACATTCGTACGTTGAAGCGAAGTACCTCAGTATAGTACCTCAGAATATGACTTTATTTGGAGGTAGGGTCTTTAAAGAGGCAATTAAGTTGAAATGAAGCCATGAGTGTGGGTCCTACTCCAGTCTGACTGATGTTCTTATAAGAAGAGATTAGGATGACCAGAGAGACACCAGGGGTGCATGCGCGCAGGGAAAGGACACAAACGAAGGAGGGTGCAACAAGAAGGTGGTCATCTGCCAGCCAAGGAAAGAGACCTCCGAGGAAACCAACCCCGCCATCCCCTTCAGCTTGGACTTCTAGCCTCTAGAACGGTGAGAAAATAAACTTCAATAAAAATAATACAAAGAGACACAATATAGCATAACAACTATTTACATAGCATTTACATTGTATTAGGTATTGGAAGTAATCTAGAGATGATTTAAAGTATACAGGAGGATGTGTGTAGTTCTACGAAAATCTTACATCATTTTATATCCAGGATTTGAGCATCTGTGGATTTTGGTATTCCTGGTAGATGCGGAAAAATGACTGTACTACCCTTCTGTTTTAGTAAACAGAAAGTTCACTTTTACCTAGGCCTGGAATAAAGACTCTATTTTTCAGCCTTCCCCTTGGCCCACGTGATTAAGTTCTGGCCAATGAGATATATCGGAAGTATCTTCCACAACTTCCTGGATCTATCTTTAAAGGAGTGCGGGATGTGTTCGTCCTTCTTCTTCTTTCCTACTGGCTGGAATGGGGGACATTTTGGCCAGAGCATGAATGACTATCTTGGATGAGGTGGAGGAAAAATACACAAGGTTCTGAATTCCTGACACCCACCAAGAGCCATTCTTGCTCTGGACTGCCATGCTGACCTGAGAGAGATATACATTTCTTATTCAAGTCACTGATATTTGACGGTTTTGGTTGCTCACAGTGGAACCCTATAAGTGGTTCACTTTATGAAGACTCGAAGGAGAAAGAGTTGTCACATCTCAGCGCCAAGAAAAGTCATGCTGCTTCTGAGAAATTTGACAAAATCTTA